CATTGTCTCTCCTTCCAAGGTGGAATGGGAGGTTTGACAACAAGCTCCCCTTCCTGGACACTTTTGTCCATCGCTCTACTGACCACTTCTCCTCTAAATACAAGAACCTATGTACAGTGGTATGTACATACACATCTTCTCGTACTATTCACTTTATGCGAAGAGAGGAGTTGCCACCTCGCTACTCCTTCGCGCCCTCCGCATCTGTGACCCCCAGTACCTGGATGGAGAGAACTATTCCCTACGTCGTTCGTCCTCCAAACTGGGCTACCCACGCCATGTCTTCGACGTCGCGTTATCTACACAAACTGGGGGGAAGGGTTCATGCGTTTGAAAATGCACGCTTCTGACTCGCCATTTCCAATTACGTTGGTCTTTTTGGAACAGAAAGAAAGGGGGATTTGTCTGCCGCGAATATTCTTATATTGATAATTGTTGATTCGTTCGTATATGACTTTTGCTTCACTATGCATGTAAAGACTAAGGAGCGGGTGCAGTTTAGTTTAATACTATATAATACAATGAAGAGTTTGTTTTACAATTGCTGCAAGGATGGAAATTTTTGTATGCTTTGCCATTCTTGCATGGCAAGTTAGCAAGCTAGAATGATTCCTATGATCGTATGATATTTATTTCTTAGGAGGAAGATGCGTTTCAAAATAATCATTTGATTACGTTACTGGAAAAAGACAAACGTCTCACAGCCTCAAAAAAGAAGTGATTCCCTTTACAAAAGAAGGAAGGAAAAAATATGAAAACAATATTACTCAAAATTAACAATATATAAAGTAATTAAGAAAGGGACAGCTTATGAAGAATGATAGCGTTATGAAACAAAAATATGATTTAAAGAATACGTATTAAAACAATTATGCATTTCTAACCTTTAATTAATCATTTATTTGAAAGAAAGGAAGTATCGCATCTAGAACCTGTATAATTCTAAACAAAGTTTCATGTTATACTTTGTGGGATAACAAGAATAGATTTGCAATTTGCATTTAAAAGCTTGCATTTCTTTACAACTGGAAGAGGTTCTCTAAACATTGAGTATCATGTTAAATGTTTGGTTAATATAAATGTATCTATTGGATGTAACAACCAAGTTATAGTTTGTGCAATACGACTGTTAAAACGATAGATAGACAATTTTTCACGTGTTCTGTGGAAACAAAGAATTGATTTTATTGTTGCTGTTCTCACTATTATTAATTTATCATTAATCATACAACTAGTGCTAGTGGTGTGTGGGTCTGGGGTGAGGCGTGCGTGCATGCGTGTCTGTGAAGTGATCCTCTCAATGAGCGACTTCTGAATGAGTCGTATGAGAGTTGAGAACCAGGAGAACGAAACAAAATACTTCCATTACAGCTGCATCCGGTGGCCTCACGCTCCAGTTATTCTCGAGGCACCTATTATAACTGAACAAAGACGCATTAACACAAAGAGTCACACAAGTTGTTTCTAACCTGAAGAGTACTGGTAGAGGAATATATTTTATTGACATCCATATGTAGGAAAAGATCAAAGATATCGACGATGGGTAATTGTCGACATAGCCGGCGGCTATAATTCGAGATTCGAGAAACATTAGTATTGAATGAGGGTTGTCCAGGCGCCACAATTAAATTAATAATGGCACTGCTAATGTCAAACTGCTTCCTAGATAATGGAAATCAAAGTCGATGGATTGCCCATCGACAATCCATGGTGACGTCCAATATTCAATATCTTTTTCGATTTATCCGTTCATGTGCATCCATTCTGCCTTGAGCAAGACTTTGACCTACATGGGCATATCAAGAACTAAAAGGCCTAGGTCCTAGAATGTCTACCTGGATAGCATCTGTGTTGGATCCAGTTTCAGAGAAAATCCCTGGCATCTCAACCCGCACTCTAGAGAGCTCACATTCACGAGCCTTTCTTAAAAAAATAAAAATAAATAAAAATAAAAGAAATAAAAAAATAAAAAATACTGAAGCGGATTGCAGCAGCAAACCAATGAAAAATCAATAAAACAATATTTGCACATAAACGTGAATGTGCTAAATATATGTAACATAATTACCAACTGTCTGTTGATGTTTATGAAATACCTAGCGAAACGGAGACCTATAGTCTGTTTGCCTTTCTTTTTTTTTCATTATTATTTTTCTTTTTTACAAGCTTCCGGAG